CGAAATTTTTTGCCAAAAGTTCGCCGTTTCGACGGTGGAATGGTCGGATTTTGTCAACATCAATAAAATGCCATATAATCATATGTAACTCATTAAATATCGAAATTAGAAGAAAAGTGCACTATTTTTAATTATAGGAAATGCGTTTTTCTAAGGTACATAAACTTTTGGGATTGACTGTATAGCCAATACATCACTTAAGTAATTTTGCGCGGACGCGCTACCGTAATTACAACTTGGTTCACTAGTTACGATAATTTAGTTATTTTGTTAATCAATTTTCGTATATTTTCAATGAGTTTACTTCAAAACTATACATTCGCCTTCACAATTCCAGATTATCACTGATTATCAAGGTTTTTTAAACAAGTTTCGTTCGGGGGAACGTACCCCGAGGCACGTCGATTTCCACTCAACTACGTATTCACCTCAAATTCGAAGAAACGAGTCGAGAAGAAGATCTTATTAATTACTATTTAAACAAAAGAAATAAATAATACAAGGGCGTGACCATTACTTATTACAAGACGACGATCCTCATGCGTTTTCTAAGTAGCTCTTGCGTCTCTTTTGGCACATACGGATTTTTCAGGGGATCCAAATTTAATCTGAAACGAATTAAACAGAATTATATATATGTATTATTTTCATTAGCTTTTTCATATAATATTAATATGAAAATATACCTGTATAAAGATATTGCATCGGCGCAGTTTACATTGTACCACCAATCGCAAGAGAATTCTCGTTGATTGAACAGAGTTCCATTGGTGCAAAGGAACGAAGCACCCTGGTGACCCTCGCGGCCGTCGTGGCATACGTGATACGCCTGAAACCAAAACATTACTTTTCTCTCCATAAATGATTCTCTTAAGACTCCAAGTTCTACTTTGCTGTCATTATTTAAATACTACAAATATGTTTGTAAAATTTTTAACGATTTTCTGTCATTCATATTTTCGATTTTATCCATCATAATTTCATGCTCGACTAATTTAAATCAGGCGTTAGAAGCCGACTTTGTATAAACTAAAAATTATTTTATTATACACATTATTCAGCGGGTTAATCAAGTGCAAATTAGATTAAAATAGATCACCTGGCAACCGGTTTCCACGTTCGCGTACATTCCTGGCACGTGGGGAACGCGAGAGCAAGAAAAACTAGTCGACGGAACCGTATGATATAGAGGATAATCCACTCCAGGAATTCCAGGAATTTTACTCAAATCTTGACGCTCTTCCTCTGGTTTGGGGATGAAATCCTTTACGACTATCGGCCTGTCGAATTTTGCTACTGGTGGATAGTTCTCATATGGAATATTGTAGTCGTAATCATAATTGCCTCCCGCCTGATACTGCACGAATAAATGTTCATATTTCAATATACTGTGAATAAATGAGTTATTGAAGAAAAATAATAAATATTTTACCTGCAGCGGACTGGTCCCAATTACAAAAAGACTGACAATAGCAAATAATGCTAAAGATAAATTGTAAGAACCGTCTCGTGACATGTCTGAATGGTACGTATTGATAAAGGAAACTGAAATACTCCGGTTTTCGAGTGAGTTCTGCGAGTGACTGACTCCTTCGCCGGGGGATTATGTCACAGCGAGGGGGTACTTTAGAAAGAGAAAGTCATTCGGCCGCCGCGCCACGCCACGCGGACCGCAACTCGAGCAAGGACTTTATTTTGACGTTTAATTGCTCTATGAAACATTTTTTGACGCAAGACTTTCACAAATCTACAACGACGTCGCGTTGCGTAATGTTCGGGATAAATCATTGGTAGACCATCTGAAAAAGAATAAACGCTTGGTGCTAACTATAGGATATCGTTCAAATGATTTTCTTTATTTCGTACATCTCATGAATTGAATAGTTTTATATAATGAGGAAGGATGTGTATGCTGTGGTCCAAGAAGGGGATTAATAAAAATTCGTCGAATTTATTAATATATACATTATTTATTAATTATAAATAAAATGAATAGTCGACTCAGCACCGCCTAGAAATGATACAAAAATTAATTCAATTAAATGAATTACGAGAATTAATTCCACAACGGCCTACACAAGATAAAAAATTACTATAAATTACTTTTACCTTAAAGGCTCCGATGAAATTGTCATTAGTTTTTATTATTTGTTAAATGATATACCATAATTTCTTCTAATTCATTAAGTCACAATTAAAAAAGAATATTAACTTAATACGTTGAAGATAAAGTAATATTGTTGAGACGTATGCGGATAGTTAAACTGAATACTGAAATGTGTGCGAATAATCGGACTGATTAAGAGTGAATTGTGAGCAGACT